AACTGATATAACCTACTCTATCATCCAACCGAAGCACTGTCTAAAAAAAAAAAAAAAAAAAAAAAAGTTAAAAAACAAACAATCTCTGTCATGTATGACCCCATTTGTGTAAAGCACACAAATAGGCAAAAGGAGTGCATGACACAAGAGGTCAGAATAGTGCTTTTTGCTAGGAGTTGAGAAAGAGCATGACAAAGCCTCTGGGGGGCAGGGGGGCGGAATGGCTCAGTGGAATAAGCTCTTCCCTGGCAAGCGCAAGGGCCTAAGTTCAATCCCTGGTTCTGCTAAAAAAAAAAAAAAAAAAGACAGAGCCTCTGGACCCTGAGTTCTGTGTCTTAAATTAGATGCAAGGAAAGGAGCAGTTAATCCTTTTTTTTTTAACTCTGATTTTTTTCCTTTTTTGTTTTTTGTTTGTTTTGTTTTGTTTATTTGTTTGTTTGTTTTGTTTTTTGGGAGGGTTTTTTTTTGGCAGAACTGAGGATTGAACTCAGGCCCCTGCACTTGCCAGGCAAGCATTTATTGTACTGAGCTATCTCCCCAACCCCATTGTTCTTTAAAAAAAATTTTTTTAATCTTCTATTATTAATTTGGTACAGGGTCTCACTATGCAGCTTGGACTTGTAGTGATCCTTCTGTCTCAGCCTCCCCAGCACTGGGATTATAGGGGTGCACCACCATGTCTGGTTTCAGTGGCCAGCTCAGCGCAAGTCTGGCATGGTATGCAGTGCCAGAGATCGTACCCGGGTCCTTGCATTTGCCAGGCAGGCACTTAGACTGCCAAGGTATCTCCAATGCTCTTTTTTCTTCTTTTGAATTTCTTATAACTTTGCTTTTGTTTTGTTTTGTTTAAACGAATCTACACATTTGCATCTGCTAATGTGAACAACTAATTTGAGGATAGCATCATGTAATACAGCAACCACTGCTGAATTTATATAACTTTGTTTAGTGAAATCTTGTATTGTTTCTAATGCTTTTTTTTCTATCACTATTTTGCGTTCTTTAAAAATAAAATAAAATAAATTAAAAAGATGTGGGCCAGTCAAATAGCTCAGCAGATTAAAACGCCTGCAAGCAGGCACAGGGGCCAAGGGTTCGTTCCCCAGGCCTACCGTGCCAGCCCCGCTCCCGGGCTGCGCTAAAATGGCAAATGAAACTGGGCATGGTGGCACAAGCCTGTAATCTCAGCTCTTAGGAGGCTGTAAACAAGTGGACCACTACAAGTCCGATCTAGTAGTGAGACCCTGAACGCCCTATAGATCCCTCCCTAAAATACAAAAAGAAAAAGAAAATAAAAAATATGCAAGGTTCATGGCTACAGCCAAATGTAAAATTTCTAGGCTGTCCAGATAACTCAGTGGACTAAAGTGCCTGCCTCAGCAGAGTGTAGCGGCCGGGGTTCAATCCCTGGCATGCTGTGCCAGTGCCCCCCGCCCCCAGGGTGTGCTGAGACAGTGATTGAGACTGGGCGTGGTGGCGCACGCCTGTAATCCCAGTGCTTGAAAGGCTGAAAACAGGAGAATCACGAGTCCGATCTACATAGTGAAACCCTGTCTACCCTGTAGACCCTGTCCTAAATTCATAAAAAAAAATTTTAAAAATTCAAACGTAAAATTTCTTCCAATTTAACTTCTAAGAATTAGGTACTCTATTGTATTCATGTATGCATACCTTGGAAAATTTTTTCAAATCAGTATATTTCTATGTATATACACTTTACCTTGATAAAACAGTATTTGGAAAATATGTTAACCAAGCGGCTTAAAAATGGTTCTATCTATATTGTGGTAGAATTTTTTCTTGTTTTGTTTATCTGTATTTTCAAATATTCCCACAAATGTAAACATAATCTTTTATAAGAAGAAAATTTTGAATAAAAAGCTGTGATGTTTAATATACTGAAATGGAATAGGTTCTGAAAAGTCTTCAGAATGAACATGACATCATTATTTTTGCCGAGCTAAAACTATCTGCAGCTTCCATCTTAATTTCTTCATCAGATTAATTTAAATGAAAAGCTTAAATTCTACGCATGATTGACAATTACAAATACTGCCAACTTTTCCCATTAATTCCATTGAGCCTCCAAATTTTTTCTTCTCCTTTTGTAGAATTTGCGAACTAAATGCTGCCCTTTATAGAAAAAGGTCATTTTAACAGGAAGATTTCCTTTAAAAAATCATTCAAAAGGGCAGGCCCCCTAGCTCAGCTGTCCTGTGTGCCACCATCTAGCTCAGTTGTTTAAGTGACTGCTTAAACAAAGCAATCAGGATGCTGTGGTTCAATTCCCCACACCTGCCCTGAAGGCATTCCTGAGCCACACACAAAAGAAAAAAAAAAGGGTAGGTGGTTGGGGAGATAGCTCAGTAGAATAAGCGCTTGCCTGGCAAGTGCAAGGGCCTGAGTTCAATCCCAGGTTCAGCCAAAAAAATATATAACTAAAATAAAAAAAATAGAAATCATTCAAAAGCTATATCCTTTCCATCATAAAACACTTGGGACCCCAGCCTCACGCCCACTGAAAGCAAGCCTGTAGCTCCTGAACACTGAGACCAAACGCTGACTGGGGGACTTTCTCTTTAAGGATGACATCATCACTGTGATCAGCCGCGTGGATGAGAACTGGGCAGAAGGAAAACTGGGAGACAAAGTAGGCATCTTCCCGATCTTGTTTGTAGAGGTACGTGAGTGCCAGGTCTATATCTGATGCAAGCTGACTGAGAAACATGTATGGGCCTCAGCGAGACTTCAGAGCAATTCCTACTGCGCGTGAGCCTTATTTCAGAATTACCAAAAGTCTCGAAAGAAAAAATGCCACACAATTACCCAATTCTGGCAGACTACAGAGAAATAGTTCATTCCCATTCTGCTGCTGGGAATGTTCATTGGTGAAATCTCTCCTATCCAGGTTCAAATTAACTCATATCAAAAACACATAAAATATGTACCTCCTTGCAGGTCTACATCTGGAAGTTTCTGGTAAGGAAATATCTAGATAAACATGCAAAAATATATGGACAAATGTGCAAAGTATTCATGATAGCCTTGTGTAGAATGATGAAAATTTAAAATAATATGCTCAACAATAAAGAATGAGTTTTTAAAATTATAGTGGTAGAAAAATGCATTCCCTTCAAAATGTTGTAAAATAATATTTAATATCACAGAGTGTTTGGTGGTATAGAAAAACATGATTTATTGTCAAGTTAAAAATAAATTTAATGAGTGTAGAGTTTCACATTCACAAGATGAAAAGGTTCTGGAGATCTATTTCCTAACAGTGTGAATATATTCAACATTACCGATCTGTATCACACATTACTGCACATTACTGAAATGGTAAATTTTATATATGTTTTCTACAATGATAAAAATGTTAAACTGTGTGAAACTAGCTTTATAAATATATATGTGTATATAAATAGATAACCAACCAGAAGAATGTATGTCAAAATATTAATAGTAGTGATCGCTAGATGGTGACGTACAGGACGGTTTTCATTATCTTCTGTCAACTTGCGTTTTCTAAATCTTCTGAAATGGGCATATATTTATTTCTTCTGTGTTTTTTAAGCTACTTTATTAAAAAGAAAAGAAAACCTGCTAGGCTACCCACCTATTTCTTCAGCATAATAGCGTAATCTGTCGTGCTATGGGCCTCACCCTAGCTCAAAGCAAATCATCACAAATTTAAAGGAGGGCTTTCATTGTTTTGCCGCATTTAGTAGATGCTTACCATGCACAAAGCATTAAAAATGAGGATTGGAGAGCTGTCAAAGAAGTAAAAGCAGCCACCTCCACCCTGTGAAGGGCAGGGTGAAAACAGAACAGAGGCACAAACGCAGAGAGGAGACCCACTATTCTGTTCCTAAGAGACAAAGCTGGCTCTGCATGAATGCTGGGCCCAGAGTGCTGTCTGCTGCTCATGGCTCTTTCTATCCCCTCTGCTCAGAGCAATGAAGGCATGAAATAAGTGAAGGGTGGGCTGCGAAGCGAGTCCACGAAGTTGCCCTTTGCTCAGTTACTAAGAAGATATTCTGGCTGCTAGGATTTCCCTCTTCCTGCAGCCCCTTCTACACCTGCTGGTGCTTTCTATCTGCTCCAGTTCACTTACTTTATAAGGCTTGACTAGAAACCCACACTCTCCACAAAAATTCAGCAATGCCCAGTTGTTTATTTCCTCTGTGAGCACCTGACAGGTGTACTCACTGTACTTCACAAGCTATCCTAACACAGAACAGGCACTCTGTAAAAAAAAAATTAGGTGGCCAAACATGTGTAAAGCCCTGGGTTGAATTCCCAGCACCACAGAAAGAAAAATAATAATAAGTGAATGTATGAAATGCCAAATAGAGATGGTCAGAAATAGACCATCTCTATTTGAATATCTTATCTAAATAGACTTAAATAAGATGGTCAGAAAAACTTTAGAAAACAAACCCTTCAGTAAGACCCTATCTTAAACATACATTGAATCATTCAACTAATTTTTCATTGAGTATCTGCTATGTCAGGTCCTGAGCTAAGTCATAGGACATAAGACAGATACAGGCTCCTGCTCTCAGAAACTACAGACATTCAAGTAATCACAAGTGTGACAAATGATCAAAATGTGAAGTAGAGGGAACCACTAGGGGGCTATGATGTGCAGCTCCCTGGCCGGAGGTCAGCAAAGGCCACTTAAGCCAAGCTGTGAAAGACGCTCAGGACTGGATAGGTAAGCACAGAGGGAATATAATGTATCCAAGGAACCGGAAGAGATCCATGCCTGAGGTTTAGAAAAGAAGGTGACTATCACAAATGAAATCAGGGAAAGAACTGAGGACACGTCACAGATGACTGCATAAGCCATGCTGTACCGTCGGACACTCTAGGTTATGCTGCCCAATAAGCATCCCCTGAAGACTCCGTGGTTTAACAAAGGAAGTGTGACCTCTCAGCTACATTACCTGTTTAGTTAGGAGGTACTGCTCACATAGGCAGGAAGCCAGCCCCATCAGCAAGGCCATCTTATAGGTGCTCTTTCTGTAACACACGATGTCCTCATTTCCACGGGGATGGAAGAGTGCTTTGTGAATCAGCAGTTAAGTGCCTCAGCACAAAAGTGACACTTCCTGCTCCCCTTCTCAGCCTGCTGCACCAAGTGAGCCACACAACATCTCTCGACTTCAAGTAAGCTGAGAAGTAGGGGGGCAGACATGGAATAGTTGGTCAGTATTGTCTCAGTCATGTCACATGAAGTTTGGATTTGACCCAAAGGCCAACAGAAACCATTAAAAACATAAGACATTGACTTGATCAGACTTGGGCTTCTTCGTGGCTTCTCTGGGTGGAGAGAGAAGAGTAACTTAAAACAAAGGAAGAAATCCAGAAAGACCAGGAAGGAGGGCAATGTGTGGCTCAGTTCTGAGATGCACTGCAAACAAGTGGACAGAGTCAAGGACCTCTTGGTAGGTAGAATCCTTAGCACTGGGCAAATGCCAAAGCGGAGGGCACGAGGAAAGTGACCAAGGGCAGCCCCATTCTGGTTTGGGTGTCTGGGCTGTAATGGAGCCATTTGTCGGGACAAGAAACATTTACCGAGGGGGAACAAGAGCAATAACTGGGAGAGCGTGGTGAATTCTCCAAGGCCAGAGATGAGCAGCAATCGGTACCTAATTGGACACATAGGAGATGTGAAGGTTTTGCATAGTCTCCTGCATTATCTTCAAATGATGTTTCATACCTCTGAGGGGGAAAGGCACCACTGATTTTATTATCCATTTCTGAAACCCTTTTTTTTCCCCAAAAAAAACTTCTACATTTAATGATTATTCATCTGGAGACTCTCCCTACCACTTTACCTCTAAAATTAGTGATTACAAGTATCCTCACAATTATCATCAAACTAGCCATTGCTTCATTTGTTCTCCTAATTGCCAGGAAGGGGATAAGATAATCAAGTGGTTGCTCTAATCTGGGAACCTGCTTTTCAAAAATTACTTGAAATCCAAATTGAGCTTTTTAAAGCAGTACTTAAATTTTGATTCCAATAATTTCATTAAGACTTGCTGAGCATTCTTTAAATAAGCTTTGAATTACCAGTGTCGTGCAGAGCAACTGGAAGGAAGGAAGACTTCTTATGGGGATTTTTTTTTTTACATAAACAGAATTTTTCCTGTTACTGTATCATCTGATTTATTGAACTGTACCTGCATAAAAGGTAGCAAAACAAATGCTGAGTTTACACCTATTCTTGTCAGGACTTCTCCAACAGTGCCTGCCTTGATTGAATGAACCTTGCCCAGCCCAATGAACCTCAAGGATATTGTTGCAAACGAGTGGGTGCAAATCTAAGAGACCTGCAATTATTCCCCAGCTGAGCTGTTAATCACACCAGCAGTGGACAAGGCAGAAGCACATCCCGAGGGGCCTTTCGTCAGGGTTGCTGATAGGAAACTGGTGGAGGTGCCCACCCCAGGGCAGAACAATTAAGCCAAAAGCAGAAAATTTAACTCCTTTCATTAAAGCTATCCATACCAGAAAAGCAGATGACTCACTCAATTCAAAGAATATACATTGTTCCCTTATGGGATGAATGCTGGAGGGTCCATGCTTGGGCCATGAAGGACATTGCCCCTAGTTCCCAAGCTGCTATCAGAGCCCCCCACCCCAACAATTTCATTTAATTTCCTAATTGGTTTCCCTGCTTCTGTTCTGGCATTTCTGAATAACAACTAGAATGAGATTTTCATTTTACTTATGTAATGTTTGCTGATTTGGTGGCCAGCTCTGTAAGTTTTCATAAATGCATACAATTGCATACAACTCATTCAAAAGAGAGGACCATTCCAACCCTACCCTCCCCCGCGAAGCCCTCACAATGCCCCTGTGTAGCCAGTCCCTTCCCTGACTTCCACACTGGATGACCACTGATTTATTTTATGTTTCTGTGGGTTTCTTTTTTTAGAATATCATATATATGAATCATACAGAATGTAGCTTTTTCATTTATTATTAGTTTATGTTTGCCAGACAAATCATTACATTGATCTTAGGGAATCAGTACATGTATGTTTGGCCCCTTGACCATGTTTACATCCCCTTCTCCCACCCCACTTTCCCTTCTCTCTTTCCCAGATTCCTTTTCCACCATGACAAATTCCACTTCACTGTTTCCCATCATTTCTCTTTTGTCGTGCTCTCTAAATTATTTATATTTTGAGTTTCTCATATTAGAGAACCCACATGATATTTAACTTTCCCTGTCTGATTTGTGTCACTTAACATTAGGCAGAATGTAGGTTTTTGAACCCCGCTTCTTTCCTGTTGTATAGTGCAGTCGAGACTCACTGGGTATTTATTGCTATGTGGTTATTTCATTGTATGAATGTACCAGAGTTGCTCTACTTATTTCATAGTTGAAATTGAAGTTGTTTGCTATTGCAGATAGCTAGGAATAAGGGTACTATTTTCTCAGGAGGCTGAGGCTTCGAGCTGGAAGCCAGCCTGGGTGACATAGCAAGACCAGTTTCAAAAAGGATGAAGAGGGGGTGGGAGGGAGGGAGGGAAGGAGGGAAAGAAAAAGATAAGTTGCTATAAACATTTGCATAGCAGTTTTTGACGGACCATAAGTTCTATTTCTCATGAATAATTAATTACCTAGGAGTGGGATTGTTGGGTCAGATGCTAGGGATGTCTTTAACCATAAGAAATTGCCAGATAGTAACACAAGCTTTTAAAAGCATAAATCAGATCATGTCATTCTACCTAAATCTTCCCAAAGGCTTCGTGTTAACACTTAAACCTGAAGCCTGCCAGTCCCTGTGTGACCTAGCACCCGCCTACCTGTGGGGCCCGCTCTTTTGCCCTTTCTCCTCACCTATTCTCTTCCATCTTTCCATTTCTTTCTTCTGTCTTTTCTGAAATAGGCCAAGTTTTTGCCTCCTTCCCACTGGCTTATGATCCTGCCTGACGTGTTCTACTCCTATTGTCACCTGGCCAGCTCTTTGGCATTTGTTGTCTCCATTTATGTCATCTTCTCAGGCTCTTCTTCAACCTCCCAATGTAATGAAGCCACTTCCCTCAATCGCACTGTCACACTGGAGCCCTTACTACTATCTGACATTCTCTTGCACTGTAGTTTCCATGTTGGCTTTGTCATTTATGTCACTCCTTCTCGGTCTCTGCTCTTTTATCTTTAAAGTGGACATGATAATACCCATTCCCCAACTTAAAGAGTTTCTCGCAATATGACAAACTCCAAGGTAAGAACTGCATCTTCTGTTAACCTCTCTATGTCAGTTATTTTAAACCTCTGCACAGTGTCACTGTAAATTTTTTAAATGGGAAAAGCCTTCTTACCTCTATAGTTGAATTTCTAATTTAGAATGAGACATGTCATCTTAAAGAACAACTGGTACCAGTAATACTAATGGAAACTTGAAGTAATTACCCTTCTACTTAAGAGTTAATTCATATGAACCCTTGTTTTATCAACATATTTCGGATTTCCAAAAGAAATGAACCCACAGGGGTCCTCAGTGAGAATGCCTTCGACAGATATTTCCGGTGGGAGCTTACCAGCATCGCAAAAAAAGCAGATCATAACACAGTGCTGTGCTGGAGCTGACTGGTGCTAGGTCAACAGAACCAGTTGTTACGTTTCCAGGAGTTTTGCACTCAACTCTTAAATCCATTGGTAGAATGATAAGCTATGCAAACTGAGGCTTTTCTATCCTTTCTCTTTTTTGAGAGCTGTCTTACCTCCACACCACTGACTAAGTATAGGACAATGAGATAAGATAGAGACCAAAGACAAAGCATTAAAAGGAAGTATAAAAGCCAGCCTTAACATAAGGATTCAGGGTATTGAATGCATTTGCATTCTGCCTCAAACACATCAACTGTGCTAACCTTGAGGACCTTCGTTCACTCATTACTGCACAAATACTCCCTAAGCGTCTATTCTGTGCTAAAAGATAGAATAATAAAAACTCCCTTGCCTGGGTGGCTAGCAAACCAACCAGCAGGAGAAAGACAAAAAAAATTAATAATAATTACAATGGGGAATGGACAGCACAGTGATGAGGAAGCAGAGGGGCTGCTGGGTACCAAGAAGGGTGAGCAGCCCTCCAGTGGGGCCTCCGGGTGACTGGAGGAAGGGGGAGAGTCCACTGGGTGAAGGAAAGTGGCTGGGGGAACTAGGTAAAGGTACAGTGTTCCAGGCTGGAGAAGAATATCATGCCTTATTTTTAACCTCCTCAGTTGATAGTAAAAGGGTAAGACCTGTAGGAGTGGTGTGAACCACTTAATAGAACACAGTAGCTGGGATTGTTCATAAAAAAAATAGAAGCTGTTCTCATGCTGACCCAGGAATGGCCACCTGAAAAAGGAGGTGGTACCTGACCCATCTCTAGCCCAGGCTGGCTGCGACTTAGCTACTGACAGCAGATCAGAAAGATTAACCTCTTATCTGACATTTTGTCTTGTCAGCCAAACCTCACAGCAAGACACCTCCTAGAGAAGAACAAAGGGCGTCAGTCATCCCACACAAAAAGTCTGTCCCTGGTATCCTCATCCCCCAGAGGCAAGACAACCAACACGCCTACACTCCGGAGGGCCCCAGGGTCCAGGAGGAAGGGACCTGGGCAGTTCTCCATTACAACAGCCTTGAACACTCTCAATCGGATGGTCCACTCTCCCTCGGGGCGCCATATGGTGGAGATCAGCACCCCGGTGCTCATCAACTCCAGCAACCCCTCTGTGTTCACCCAGCCCCTGGAAAAGGCAGACTTCCCTCTGAGCCCTGCTGGACAGGTAGGGATCCCTAGGGCATGGGGCCCTGCAAGGTAAGCAGGGCATTCACACCACATCGCAAATGATTTGTTATTTAGTACTGACTAAGCTCTCATGATGCATGAATATTAACTAATGGTGTATGTAATGCCTATTAGAACTGTACAGGCATGATCTCATTGAGGTAGGTATTATTTTCCTCATTTTTCCTCAGATAAAGAAACTGAGTCCTAGAGGAGTTAGATAACATGCCTAAATTCTGATACTTACTTTTCTCTTTTTTCCATGTATTTTTATTACTGCATATTAATTTTTTCTAAATATTAGGTTTTGTTGTGGCATTTGCATTCATGAAATAACATATTGTGATCATATACATCCTTCTGACTGCCCTCTCTTACTCCCATCCTCTTGTCTAATGATAGCCTACCTTCACAGACACCTTTCTACCCTATGCTAAATGCCATGACCCAACTGCTGCCCCTTGAAGAACTTCCAGGAGATGGTAACCCTATATATTAGGCACCAAAAAGAAACTATGGGGTCATTGAGTGTTCTCAGGACAGACTATGTATTGACTACATAATTTGGGGACCCAATGTCAAATGAAATTGCAAGTTCCTTGCTCAAAAATGATTAACAATTTCGAGATGATACCAGCAGAGCATTAAACCCAGTGATGGCCCTGGTGACCAATAGTCACACACTCAGGAAGCCACCCCTGGGTGTCTCCATATGAAATACCTAATGAGATAATGTATGGAAAGTGTTTAATGCAATGATGCCTAATGTATGCTAAGCTCCCAGTAATCAATAGCCCTTAATACTAGTTTTACTATTAACCCTGGTCACTGAGTTGCACGCGGAAGAAAAATACGCCAAGATGCACTGTGGCAGTTCAGAAGCTAAAGTACGTCTGATAGAATGTGGCTATTTAGGTTGAAGGGTACTTTAAGAGATGAAGGAGTAGAAGTGTGAGACAAAGTAATTAAGAAGAACTTCATGTTGGGTGTGCTGCTGAAAACCCTCTTTGGAACTATGCAGGTGGCAACTTGAAAGGACAAACCCCAACTTGCACTGATGTATTTTTTCAAGAAGCTGTAAATCTTGTTTTTAAACGTGAATTTCTACTTTGGGATTAAAGAGCTTAATTGGACTCTAATCCCTTTTTAACAAGACAAGACGGAAGGAGAAAGTCAAGGGCTCCTCAAAGACCTGTGTGCTGGTCGGAAAGGAAAACAATCACCTCCTACAGCACTTTATATCTTTTTCTCTTTTTTTTTGTGTTTGCTGTGCATAATATTTACATTGCTTGTGGGAGTTAGTACATGCACGTAAGACAGCCCAGTTCCTTTTTCTTATCCTATCCATCCATCCATCCATCCATCCATGTCTGCCCTGCCCTCCATCTCTTGGTCTTTTTCTCATTTGAGAAAGATCTAGCTCCCTACCTCCTATTATCTATCTTTTACTTTCCTCTTTATTTATACTTTGAATTTCTCATATAAGAGAAACCATGTGATATTTAAGCTTGTGTGTCTGACTTATTTCACTTAACATTATGATCTCACGATGCGTCCATTTTCTTACAAATGACTCAAGTTCATCTTTCTTTATGGTAAAGTGTACTCCACTGTGTGTATACTCCATTGTGTGTGGATATCCATTCATCTATTAATGGATGTATAGGCTGCTTCCAAGACTTGGCTGTTATGACTCGGGCTACTATAAACATGGGTATGCATGTTTCCCCTTCTAGGTAACTTCCCAAAGAGTTAAAGACTTTATATGTGTGAATCACTATGTCTGAATCACTAAGAGGTTGGCTGTCATGTAAGGCTGCCCACCACCTGCACTACACACACACACACACACACACACACACACACACATACACACACAAACTCATATGCACTTTCTCAATATACACTCTCTTGCATTAAAAAAACTCCCCCCCCACACACACACACACTTCAAACACATTTTTACAAATACATACATGCTTTCACCCCCACAGCTCTTCTTTCAAAATACACATATGCACATGCTCACACACATGTGCATTCACACTCTAAAACAGGGACCTGATGAGTCACAGTGAAGCCAGAGTGGCAGAGCTTTTTGAAGTCATTCTTTATATGCACACATAGATATATAAAGCACAGCCTACACTCAGTACAAATAAGCAGCCCACTCAGCTGTGAGTTGGCTTCCCAAAAATGTAGCCAGTGTTTATCTTCTCTGTGCCTTTCACATTCTTATTCCTGGTCACTTCACTCCCCCACAAAAAGGTTATGGGAGAATAAAAAGATTCAAAGCAAGTAGTGTTCCTGATCACTTCTCTGCCCTTTGGCTAAGATCAAGTGTAAAACAAGTAGTATTCCTTCCAGTTGTACTGTTTTATTCACTTATATTGCTGCTACATTTGCAAAAGTCCTCCTATTTCTGATTTCTGAGGAAAGAGGGAGAGAGGGAGAGAGAGAGGGAGAGAGGGAGAGGGGGAGGGGGGGAGAGAGGGAGAGAG